AGCCAGGTGTCCTGGGGGAGGCTGAGGCGCAGGGTGAAGGGCTGGGCGCCCAGGTCCGGCCCCGGAGTGGGGGAGGCCCAGCAGGCCTCTGTCAGGGTGGAGAGGGATGAGGTGCCATGTAGCGCCCCTCAGGGGGATCACGTGGGGAGCGCAGGAGGTGGGCTGGTGCCCGAGGCCCCCCGACGGCGATGGAGGCCCAAGATTAAGTGGGCCTCGTTTAGGCTGCTCAGGAGGGAGGAAGCAGCATCCACGGCTCAGGAGCTGGTCAGAGAGCGGAGGCTGTGGGTAATCAGAGGGTAGAGGCTGTAGCTGATCAGAGGGTGGAGGTTGCAGCTGGTCAGAGAGCGGAGGCTGTGGGTAATCAGAGGGTAGAGGCTGTAGCTGATCAGAGGGTGGAGGTTGCAGCTGGTCAGAGAGCGGAGGCTGTGGGTAATCAGAGGGTAGAGGCTGTAGCTGATCAGAGGGTGGAGGTTGCAGCTGGTCAGAGAGCGGAGGCTGTGGGTAATCAGAGGGTGGAGGCTGTAGCTGATCAGAGGGTGGAGGCTGCAGCTGGTCAGAGAGCGGAGGCTGTGGGTAATCAGAGGGTGGAGGCTGTAGCTGATCAGAGGGTGGAGGTTGCAGCTGGTCAGAGAGCGGAGGCTGTGGGTAATCAGAGGGTAGAGGCTGTAGCTGATCAGAGGGTGGAGGTTGCAGCTGGTCAGAGAGCGGAGGCTGTGGGTAATCAGAGGGTAGAGGCTGTAGCTGATCAGAGGGTGGAGGTTGCAGCTGGTCAGAGAGCGGAGGCTGTGGGTAATCAGAGGGTGGAGGCTGCAGCTGATCAGAGGGCGGAGGCTGTAGCTGATCAGAGGGTGGAGGCTGCAGCTGATCAGAGGGCGGAAGCTGTGGGTAATCTGAGAGTGGAGGCTGCAGCTGATCAGAGGGCAGAGTCTGCAGTTGGTCAGAGAGCGGAGGCTGTGGGTAATCAGAGGGTGGAGGCTGCAGCTGATCAGAGGGTGGAGGCTGTAGCTGATCAGAGGGGGGAGGTTGCAGCTGGGCAGAGAGCGTAGAGGCTGTGGGTGATCAGAGGGTAGAGGCTGTGGGTGATCAGAGAGCAGAGGCTGCAGCTGATCAGGGGGCAGAGGCTGTGGGTGATCAGAGGGCCGGGGCCCCAGTTGTCCAGGGAGCAGAGGCTGCATCTGATGCGGCCGAGGCCAGAGCTGGCCAGAGGGCAGAGGCTTCCGCTGAAGCTGCCGCCTTAGCTGCCCCGGGAGCCACAGGAGCGACCCCAGGAGTTAGGGCCCGGAAACAGGTCAAGACAGTGAGGTTCCAGACCCCTGGGCGCTTTTCGTGGTTTCGCAAGCGCCGGAGAGCCTTCTGGCACACTCCCCGGTTGCCAGCCCTGCCCAAGAGAGTCCCCAGGGCAGGCGAGGCCAGGGGCCTCAGGGTGCTGAGGGCTGAGGCCAGAGCAGAAGCGGAGCCGGAAGAGCAAGAGGACCTGCTGTGAGGCGGGCACGGAAGCCAGAGAGCCCCTGCCACCGGCCACCTTACCGGCCACTCAGGGCGCCCCCTCCCCCTTGGACAGAGAGGCTGTTTCTGCCTCCACACGGGAAAAAGGAGGTGGGGCTGGAGGTGGAGCGAGGGCCGGCAGCACCCCTCACATCTCCACCTAACACCCCTTTTCTTTTCTTGTTAAAATTTTAACTTTCATGCATTGCTTTTTTTAAAAAAAATACAGACTCTCTAGAAACCCAGGGAACGTAAGGAAAGAAACCGGTGCGATGGGGCTGCATTAACTTCCTCACATGCGACCCTGGGTGCTCAGTGTGAAGCCGGGAGCCAGGCCGAGAGACATTCCCTTCTCTTCGCTTTCCCTGCTCCCTCCCCCTGCACACCTCAGGTGCCGGCCTCCTGGAACCTACAACGTGTAAATAAAAATGTTTACAAACTTGTTGCCTGGCTTTGGACTTGGCAGCTAAAGACTGCCCCCCCGCCCCGGGGTGATTTGTCACTCCCTTGTCCACCCTCCGGGATGGCGACCTGCGTTTATGTCACTTTGCTTGTCATCCCCACACCTCTGAGTTCTGCCGGCTCCACGGGTCCAGGGCCTGCAGCGTATACGCTTCATGCACTTTACACGCTTCATGCGTGTTACATGCTTCATGCACTTTACATGCTTCATGCGTGTTACGAGGGACAGGAAACTCCCCAGGAAGTGTGTCCAAATGCTGTGCTTGCTCGGGCTGTCTGTGAGGCCAAGGAATCTGTATGTGTGTTTTTTCTTTTTTAAAATATTTTTTTATTGATTTTTTTTTACAGAGAGGAGGGGAGAGGGATAGTTATAACATCGATGAGAGAGAAACATTGATCAGTTGCCTCCTGCACACCCCCTACTGGGCATGTGCCCGCAACCAAGGTACATGCTCTTGACTGGAATCGAACCTGGGACCCTTCAGTCTGCAGACCGACGCTCTAGCCACTGAGCCAAAACAGTTAGGGCAGTCTGTGTGTTTTTTTTTATGGTAAATCCTCACCCTGGGACAGTGATGGCGAACCTATGACACGCATGTCAGAGGTGACACATGAACTCATTTTTTTGGTTGATTTTTCTTTGTTAAATGGCATTTAAATAGATAAAATAAATATCAAAAATATAAGTCTTTGTTTTACTATGGTTGCAGATATCAAAAAATTTCTATATGTGACACGGCACCAGAGTTAAGTTAGGGTTTTTCAAAATGCTGACACGCCGAGCTCAAAAGGTTCGCCATCACTGGCCTAAGACATGTTTTTATAGAGAGAGGAAGTGTGTGTGTGTATGGGGGGGTCGGGGGGGGGAAGAGACATAGATGTGAGAGAGAAACATCAATCAGTTGCTCCTGTATGCACCCCGACCAGGGATTGAACATGCAACCTTTTGGATGGGGCGACACTCCAACCAAAACTGAGCCGCCGGGCCAGGGCCCAGGAATCTGCTTGTTGCTACCCCTCAGATGGGGCTATTTTCCCTATTGCTCTTCAGAGGGAGGGTCAGGGAGAGAGAGAAACATCAGTGTGAGAGACACACACCAGCTGGTTGCCTCCCGTGCATGCCCCGACCAGGGGTGGGGATCGAACCCACAACCCAGGTACATGCCCTTGACCAAGAATCAAACCCATGACCCTTTGGTGGGCGGGCCAGGGCTCTAACCACTGAGTGCACCAGCCAGGGCACAGGAATCTGTTTGATCAAGCCCGTGAACACCTGGGAAGCTGGCAATTGGAACAGGCCGGTGCAAGGCGGGTGTGTGGTCGTGTGGGGTGCCCCGTAGTTACAGTTGGGGGAGATGGGGCTGCTAAGGTCCGTGGGAGCTGGGGGACACCTCTCTGTGTTGTTTGTGTCCTCCCACCCCAACCCCCACTCCCCCCATTTCACTGAAGCAGGAGAACAGGAAATCGCGAGGAGAGGCTCTGAAGGGCAGCTCTGGCCTCCTGCCTACGCTGCAGGCTGGCCTGAGTTGCTCAGGTTTTCCCCTCGGATCTGAAGAACCAGGCGGCCTCTCCCAGCTGCCCCGGAGGTGGTCAGTGGGTGCCGCTGGCTGTGAAGCTAAGAGCCCCTCTGCCTGGTGGTTCAGACCTCACAGACTGGCAAACAGGAGCCCCCATGGGCTTTGAACGCCAGTGGAGGGCTGGGCTTTGGAGGCGGCAGGGGGAGAGCTGGTGAGCGCTCCGGGTGCCAGGTTGGTGGTGGTACCGGGGCTGTCTGTCCGTGGCTACTGCCCGTCTTGGGGAATGTGGGCCTCCTTACCAGGCCCCTGGGCTGATTGGGATGCTGGAAGGTGAACGGAGCTGGGAGCAGGGATGGGGACCCAGGCTGTAGGCAAACCTACCCGCCCCCTCTCCGCCTGCTAATTCTGTTTGTCCCTCCTGTCCCCGGCGTCCCCAGCATGAGCTTCCAGCGAGGCCATGGTGGTGGGAGGACCTTGAGCAACCTGAGATGGTACCAGGGCTTTCGATATTATTTTCAATCCAAGGGGGTTTTGGGAGGGACCCCCCCTCCCCAGAAAACTGGAGTTTTGTCGCCAAATCAGCCTTTATGTGGACTGGCCAGCCTCCCCGAACTGTAACCAAAGAGAAAACAATGGAAATCTGACACAGAGATGCCCCCCATACCGGGACTTTCTGGGTCCCCCTTCCCAGGTGGAGTGACAGGAAACGAGGAAACCATGCGGGGGGTGGGGGGGTGGAGGACAGAGTGAGGAGGGATTTGGAGCGAGGCTGCCCATCTCACCTCCAGCTGCACTGCCCCTCACAGCTGTGTGGCCTTGGGCGGGTTATTAACGTCTCTGAGCCTCCACTTACTCACCTGAATGAGTGATCATCACGGAGCTCCCCACGTGGGGCTGCTGAGAGGACCGAAGACCTGAAGTGTCAGAGCTCACATCATCCTCAAATGACCTGGGGGCTTTCACACACTCAGGCCCAGCCTGCTCTCTCAGAGGTTCCCAGGGAGCCGGGTGGGTATGGCTGGGGCACCCAGAGCCCCGAGGCTTCTGGGTGATTCCCATGGGGGGCAGGGGGGCGCAGAACCATGGCCCCAGGGTCCGGAAGGTAATCAGACCTCAAACT